TATGTTCTGTGTTGCTAGAAACTCTTTCATAACAGCCATAGTTGCAGGTGGTTTCATCATGGTTTCGGTTATTTTTGTATTTCACCTTAGGTGATGGACCAGTTTCGCTGTATATTCCTAAAGGCTCACGTATCCCAGTCATTCCTTGTGCTCTACGGCGATGCAAGCACTTGCTGATCACTAGCGCTTCACATGAACCTGTTATTATTCCAGCGGATAACTGTTTAATTCAGTTGAATGATATGCTTCAAACGCATGCAGTGTTTGTGCAAGTGCACTTTTATACTAACATTATTTTCAATTAAAGCATTAAAACATATCGAAGATATTGAGAGTTTTAACAGACTGCAAGGTTGCTTTATTTTTTGTGACATGTCCGTTCTTTCTAGATTTTCTCAGTTTTTCGTAACGTAGCTTATCCAGTGTTTTGTAAAGGTTGGGGATCCAGTAATCTTAAAATATTAGAGTTGCACATTGTTTACTTCAGTTTTAAAGCGAGGTGTTAGCTCTAACAGAAAACTAATTTTTATGGCTTAGAATTTTACTAACATTCTAAATTTCCGTAATCTAAATTTATTTGAAAGTGTGCTTTCAGGAATACAGCGCTGTGATTGATGACTCAGAGATTGTAAGTGTCCCATTTCCATTTAGTGAATCCAGATCAACAGATGGTAATTTTCGTGTCTGTCGTTAACAATTAGAGTGTCGAAATAATTTTACAAATAAAAATAACAAACTGTTCAAGATATCTCAATGTCATCTTGTTTCTTATCGTTTATTTATGTAAGATAGGATTCTTTCGTCATATCAGTTATTTAGCCTTTTAAAATTTTTTTAGGTCACTTTTCATCGCATCCTTCTGTGCTGAAACTTCGAAAAAAATTGGGACTAAATTCACTGTGTGGTTATTTGACATTGTTGTGCAGAAAGAAAACTACTGACTGGGAAGAACAGTCGGAGAAGAAAAGAAAAGGTAGTAGTATGACGGTCAGCAAAGATCCAAGGTTTTAATTTCCTCTTCCATCTTAACAAGAAGTTATTTTTATCAATGCTTTGTTGTGCTTTTGATTATTGTAATGGTTTTTTTTTTCTTTACTATTCTCAGTAATCATGTTACCTATAGCAGAGGAGCTACAATTAGAAAAAACAGGCTGTAGAAGTGAAGTAAGTCATTCTGTTACTGCAATTGTGTAACGGTCAGTGCTCTGGAGGGTTGTAGCTTCAATATTAAATGTTCATATTGCGTCAAGTACGAAAGACTGGGTATTAACAAGTTGCTTTCAAAATTTTACCATATTTCGAATTCGTAGGAAAATTGCGAACCTGCGAGTTCATTTGCGAGATGACGAAAAATATGCGGATTACACATTGCTCGATTGTGTTTTTGGCGTGCCATTATTCCATGAACAATTGAACAGGGTCATTTGCCAAAGAATTAAGGACTGCGAGCTTCTCGACCCAAAAAAGTACGTTTTTTCTGGTATTTTTTGTTCTGAATTATATTCTTTCAGAAAGGGCATAAAATATAGTTTCATGGTTCATTTTGATAAAGTTTCAATTAAGGATGTCTTTTTTATATGTTAGTTCAAACATGGTAGAATTTGCGAACCGCGATCTAGTACAGTCGTTGCGAGAACTGATTAACAAATATCAAACTTCGGAAGAAGAGGTGAGTTAAAATAACTTGTACATCTTTTGTTTATTGTTCTTCGAAAAAAATGGCAAATTTCAAATTCTTCCCGTAAGATCAAATGGTGTTTCAGCCGGCATCTGTTTGGGAAATATCACGTTGGTCTCCACCATCTCAAACACTTCTTTTCCAAAATGGAGAGATAAGCGTAGTGGATGATTTACAAATTTGGTAAATACTATGGTTCGACTGAACTGTCATGATCAAAAACATGCATCATAAAAATTAGCTTTTGTTATCCTATTTATTTTAATTCTAATATTCAAATTTCCTTCTCATTTCCGGGTTCTATGAAGGGATACAAAACTTTATTACGGGATGTAGAACTTTATCTCATAAATAAGTACTGATATTCACTGGGAAGAGAAAAGGGTTTAGAATTAGATATTAACGTAAGAATGTTTTTGACGAAGTCCTTTGTGAACCCATTTTACCTGTCTTTTCAGGTGCTCAGAATCACTTTTCACAGTTTCTTTTTTGAAAAACTTCTGGGCTGTTTGAAAAAATTTCAAATTCCGTAAAATTTTTTTTTGTACCAAGAGATATACTATTAGTAATATATTATTTGATCACACACAAATGATTTTGATGGGTAATCCATTCATCCATTTTATTTTTTCCTACATTTTTTTATTCAGGTTATTTAATTTTTGTCTTTGCATCGGAAATGGTAATTTCACTAAATTTTGTTTCTCCCATATGCCTGTAAATTTGCCCTTGGTTATAGTTGTAGGGAGTGGATGTATGGTGTTTTCACTATAAGATTATAATATTTTTCGTATGGACTGTTTTGCCGTGTTCTACATTTCTGGTAGTAAAGGTTAGTGCTCTTGGTTTTCTTTTCGGATTTATTGTTGAGATAAAGCTCTTGTGTTGCTTCACTCTTTCGATACTTCTGGCACTATTTAGCTAAAAAGGAGTACGACAGTCTACCCGGTTTTTTTCGATCTATTTTTTTTTCATTCTTTTAGTTGAATTATCCCAAAAATCACTTGTTTTTAATACTTTGAAACTTGTCGTCGTGAATTATTAGTGGATTGTAGTCATTCAGTCTTAGTGCTCAGTTTCTAATTTAATTGATATTATTATTGTTAACTTTATCAAACCTTATTTTCCTACATTGAACAACTCCGTCCTATTTTCTGACTTTGTTAAATTATATTCAGTTGTCAATTCAGCATCATCGATGAAAGTAATAATTTATTCCTTGTTGAAAAAATATTTTATTATTATTATTATTACTGTTATTATTATTTTATTGAATTCTCTTGCAGCTATATTGAGAGACTCGTTTTTCACTTTTATAAATTGCATCCAGTTATCAGTTCTTAACTGACTGCAATAATAACTTGTTAAACTTGTCATGGCGTGGCCCTTAGGCCTGGAGCTTCAGAAAATCTGCTGTGAAGGAACAAGAGAAAAATAAAAGAATGCAACCTTGTTTTCATATAGTGATCTATGATCTGGGAAAGATTGAGTACTGTGGAATACATCCATAGACATTTTAAGTCGATCTTTTTTAATCATGTCCTTTCTCTGATTTGTCAGAAGTATTTCTTCCTACCATGTCCTTTAATTGTTTTGGCCTTTGGCAAATATTTTTTATTTATAACTTCTGTTTTGCAGTTTTATGACTGTATAGAACCATTTTTTCCCATACATTTCTACCGAAGTATTGTCTATTGCCATCTTGGTCTGGACTTATTTTACACTTCGATTGAATTCTCACATTCATCATTGAAGAGGAAACACAATTATTTCTATAAATTGAAGGGACGGTTCACTCTTTTTGGATCCTAATGTAACATTCAATAAAACCAAGTTTAACTGTAAAGTTGGTCAAATATTTCGTCCCATTACTTTTTTGTCGAGACGAATTTCTTTAAATCGTAATAATGTCTACTTCTGCTTCAATTAATTGTAATAATGTATAAAATAGAAATGTTCAAAATAAGACGATAATTTCAAAAAGCTTATCTCAACAAGGGTGCATTAATACAAGGTTTTCAGCTGATTCGAACTTCGTTAGATGTTGCATTAGGAATCAAAGAAGTATGAGTCTGTAAAATTCAACGGAAAATTGTTTCCATTATTGTTGTTATCGCTACTATTACTGGTATTACTGTTATTACTTGTCCTTATTTCATTGTTATTATTGTTGGAATTTTATTTCTATTCCAGATTTTCCAAACTTTCCATCATATTTTTGTTGTTTGTAATCGAACTTTATTATGTAACTGTAAACTAGAGTTTAAGATTTCCCGAGATTATATCATGTAATTTTTAAGTAATTCATCGCTATCATACATGGTTCTCAGCAGTCTTCTTTCCAATTTTTTTTGTAAACTTAACATCTGTTTGCAATGTTTTGAAATCGTTTTAGTCTAAAGTACAGAATCACTTTTCTGTTAATATTCTGTCTTAGCCGTTTATATTTTTTTTTTTTTTTTCATTTGGGTTCATATAAGGTTGTGCACTGCATGTTTTTAATATACTTTTCGTCTTCATTGTAATTTGTTGCATAGTGTTCTGATGTATTTCGTTGAAATATATGTAAATTCCTTAAATGATGAATTACAGGTTTTAGTACTTCACACTTCACACTTCATTATCCCAAATCTTATGGCTCGTTACCTTGATCGGATAGGTTAGCAAGCATTACAGAACAATATTTGATTGCTTTGAATCTTAGCATTCAAATTATTTCTTATAGATTCGACTAAGGGAGTCAGTAACAGAAGAGGAAAATGAAGCAATGCTTTTTCGGTTCAGTTGGTCAAATGTAAGCATGCTGCAGCCATATGGCGGAAGTAAGTTAGTCTAGAGAAAACTGAGTCCTGGCCCAAAGATCACCATTTTTTCCTCAAAGTAACCACCAAAAGAAGCTTTGAGTAGCGAATTCAGATGGTCTAAACCAAAAATAAGTAGTGAAAATACACATCGGCATTGGATATGCTAAGATATACTCATTTCGACTTTTCAATGTTTTTTATTCAATTGTAATCCATCATGTTGTAAAAGTTATTCAGTTGTACATGGTAGGTGTCCACATGTCGTATTTCTGCGTCACTTAGCATTTTTATTATCTTTAGCAGTTAGTATCAAGATTAATCAATTACTTATGATATTAGTACTTTATATTTCAGCACTAGCACAAATCTATATGATCTTCTTGCGATTATTTAAATTAGTTTCTGATGCATTGCGGAATGTTGTGGAGATGGGGGTGATCGATAATAGCAACAGAATTATGGAAGCACCGCATCATTTATAATTGAGAAATGTCCGAATTGACTGAATTTTTTGAAGTAAGGTACAATCCAATTTTTTACATCGAGGGTTGTAGAAATATTGAAGGGTGGTCTATTGGTATATTTGATCGATTGGCATTGTTCATACACTGATAGTGTAAATGACAAAAAAAGAAGGGACGAACGAATTGGCAATGTGTTTTTCGCTTGGTGCTTTTCTTGACGTGCTTGGTCTGATTTAATTCAATCTTTTATCTCTTTTGCGCTCAATGAAATGTGTTCCAAAAAGATGTATGGTTGCAGAAATAATGGCAAATACTGTGTAGTGGATTTCTTAGCATTGCTGAGAACTGCTTTAAAAAGAAAGGAAACCTTATAAAATTTAATATTCTTTCATTTTATAGTGTCAGATTTGTTAAACATTATTTGATATTGCACCGACAGTCTCTCTCCTTCAATCCATTAGCTACATTGATACCAATTTGAAGCATTATTTGAATTTTATTTCTGAGAACTTTAACTGCTTCTAAAACTAGTGCAGACAAATTTTTAATAAAAGCACTAAAAATATGCAAATTACTGCCGCATCTTCATATACCGTGAAAATAGCAGCGTGAATGCTAGAGGCTTCTGAAAATTTTGCTTAGGTGGTTTTTTAAAGATTTTCAGAACAAACTACATCGATAAATAGAACGAAGTGATTCATCTCTATTGGTAAATATGTGGATATAATACAAGAATCGCCTGGTGATTTAAACATTTTAAATTACTCGATCTTAAGAATGAAGACTGTGTAAATGTTGGTTGAATTTCGTGCCATCAAAATTTGTTAAATATAAAAAAAAATTGTTAAATAGTTTAAGGAATAATATTCAGAGTAATATCTTCCCTCAAAAGTGAACAGAATATGGATATCGATGTCTTGAATTCATGCTTGACTCTTGTATTGTCCACTTATGATTTAGACTGTTTGATACAGTCACTGTGTTGTAGCGGTTTCAAAATCACCACAGTAGCTTAATACGAAACACAACAGCATTTGATTTAGGTACAGCTCCGCTTGATTCAGTCTTATCCGCCTTTCCAAAAAGCTTCACTTTGTTTCTAATACTGTCTGTTTCGTAATTTACCCACAGATCTTTGTTTCTTCATAAGTAACGCAATCTTGCAATCGTAGTGCAACCTTACATTTTCATCGATGTCACGAGTTTACGTAAGTTCGATCGTGTTACCCTACCTGCCCAAAGCCTCCAATTTCGCTTGTATTATTCCGTTGCCATTTATCACTGGTGATAACATGCTTGCTACCGACAATGCTGAAAAAAAATCTTCGTTCAAAGGAGATTATCTGTTGTTACTCCGTCTAATATAGCTACTGAGATGAAAATATTTTATTTATACCTTATTCGGAGTATTTCACGTCTTCAGAATAATACGCAGAAAGCGTAACTCCATGTGTTTCTGTGACTTTTTTGGGTATTATACGTTATATTTTATTTCTCAAGCTTTTTTGTTAATAACACTTGAGGAAGTTGGTTGAAGAAGGCCACTTCGATATTAAAAATTAATGATGATCTTTATCGACATAAGAGCTGCCTTTTTTGAACAATATTTTCGGTTAATTTTTTTATAGGGAATGATCACTAGAAATAAGAATTGAATACATATGAAATGAGTTAGTGGATTTACCAGAAATCTTCCATTTCCATATATTTCAAATTAGGTACATTTTTGAGGAAGGAAAAGATGATTTTTATGGCTGAAAATGTTCAACACTTTTTCATGTGCCATATTTTCTAGCAAAAAATGACAAAATATGCACATGTGTTCCAAATTCTTTTCCTTACAGCAATACTTGCAACCAAAATTATTAACTAAACAGTACTGAATGAATAGAGCCCAGTCCTGTATCCTAATGTGAAGTTGTACTGAAGGTTTACAGATTACATATATGTAAAGCTATTGGATAGGAAAGAATTTTGCACACAAGATTCTCCGGTCAACCATATAATGTCCTTGCACTTTCTGTAAATTGTGACTCTTATTTCCGAATTTTTGGAACTTTTTATATCTCTGCTTATTGTCTGGTCTTCTCCACGTCATTTCACCGGATTCAGACAACTATATTATAAAACCCGGGAAGTTACATTCCACTTCGGATATAATTTCAAATCAACTGCATACGCCGCCTCTAATGGTACGTAATTTTCAATGTGTTCAGTTCCTCATATTTTTGTAATGGAATATTCCAGCAAAGATTTTGTATCTGCTGGAAGTGGAGAGAGTGAACGGGCTTTCCATTGTAAAAGCGATATAGTCCAATTAATTATGCTATTGATTTTGGCAGGAAACAATAGTTGCAATGATGAGAAGCGATGAATGAAAGGATAGGAAGATAACGAAATTCGGTGCTGAACTGTGAAGGGCGGTGAAGGAGAGGGTGTTGAAGGGTCCTGTGGAGAGAGGCTTATCAAATAGGGCTGCTTTTAGTAAGAATTGGCTAAAAGCTTAGCAATGGCAGCAATCACCCTTAGGGGATTACCAGTGTAATGCAGTTTCTTCGTTGTCCTCTTCTAAAACAAATTTCTCAACCGTACGATCTGCCCTTTCTTTCGTTGTCCTTCGAAATGAAGTTTGCTTTGTTGATTGCCTCAGCTATTATCATTCCTACAAGTCATCATATAAAGAAGAAAAGCTTGCTTTATATGAACAGTGAGACAATTTGCACAATTAAGAATGAGGTTAAACAATGGTTAAATTTGAAGTAAGTAGGGCCTATATTTTTATGACTACTTTAGGACCATTAATCCCTTTAATTGGTTGATGACACGAACTAAAATAGATATAAAATAAAGCTACAAATGATATATCCACAATTCGACTGGCTGGTATCGCTATTCCTTCATATACTTTGATATTTATAACTCCTGATTTAATGTTGTCATTATACCGTTGACACTGAAAGCACTGGTTCAGATAGCTCCAATAGGTCAATCATATCGCATGTTTAATCGTAATAGTACGGCAATGTCATTCTTTTCATCCTTTCCGTTTTAGTATAACAATCATCAGCTGTGAGAGTTGAATAATTCCGTTTTCTTTGGCTATTAAATTGTTGCATGAGGAGTGCCCTTATCCGGAATACGCATCCGGTATTCTGTATCAGTATGCACCGTGGTTGCATCGCTACATCTGTTTGAGGTACTCACTCTAGGTCACATACTCTGTTCAATTCAATCTCGATCTAAGAAGATATGTCGCAAAATTCCTTCATCAATGTTTGTTTTTCACCGATGTCACTTTTTTTTTTGTTTAGTGGAAACTGACCTGATTGGTCTTATCACTCCTTTTTGGTAAATGAGGAGTTGAAATTTAAAGAAGCGAAAAAATTGAGTTGATTCCAAACATTCGAGCAAAAGTCTTGTTTGAAGCGAAATATTTTTCATTTCGAAATTCAAAATTCAAGAAGTTTTTCAAGAGTTATTTGAACAATTATATAATATTTCTGTATCTTTATACCGTGAAACAGAGTAAAGATTGTTTGTTTACATCTCAATATAAGTATGTAAAAGGAATCCATTAGAAAATACCAAGTGTCTTCCGAATTCATTTTACCAAGGCTATTTCAAATTTTAGAATTCCTACCACTTCCAGATTGTTTGAATTTATTTATATCTTGTGATGTAAGCATCTACTACTTATTTCTGCAAGTATGTGAAGGTATAGCTGTGTTTTTTGCACCATAATGAGTTACTTCAGCTATTTTCCACTTTCTTAAATGTTTTAATATAAACCTGTTCATTCGCATAATAACTCACTTCCAGTGCATCATAATACCTTTGATGGAGTGAGAAGGAAAAGAAAATGTAAGGTTTTAATTTACGGAGAAGACAAACTGATCGCAATATTCAAACAAAAAATTATCGAAGATGACCATCCCATAGTGCAACTGACAGGTCAGTTATGTATGCTACTAATTCTTATATCCAAAACTTTTTGATCTTATAGGAAACTTTTTACCTCATTCGCTTCATTTGGTATTGCAACTCAAAAAAGTGGCTTGAATAGCTTTAAGTAACAGAAGCTATGACTACGACAGTGGCGCTAAATGTTACAATAATAGTAATGAATTTCACAGCTTTAAAAGTGTTTTTCTTTGATTGTAAGCTTCTGATACCACGTAACATGTAACGCATTCACTGCATTGAAACAATGGAATAGTAGTGAGTTGCAAAAAAAAGAAAAGGACACTGCATAACGGTCATTGGATGTTAATATGGATTGATCAACACGTCCTACCCACACATTAAGATCAAATCATTATTCACTTTCTTTGTTTGATGTTGAAAGTGTTTTTTATTTTCCTTCCTTGAAGTTCCGGTCTTACAACCATTTTCATTTGTCATTCTGGTCTCGGTGAAATTCCAGATTTATCTAAAGGTTGCAAATGTATTGCGTATGTATGATATCTTCCTTGATATTCGTTTATTGCTTCTTCTGTTTCTTTCATAGGGAATCCCGAACAATATAATTCGTTGATCGCTTTTTTTTTTAATTTAGATGAACCAGAGAAGATCGTGCATACCGCGCTATTTACTTTCGTATTCTTATCGTCATTCACTCTTGTGACAAAGTCTTGAAGAGGTCTCCACTGCAGCAACATATTTCTTCAGCGAACTCCATTCTGAAGTACTCAGTGGAGAGTTCAAACTTGAGTTCAAATGTTTTATTAAAAGCCTCATTTAGGTACCCAACTCAATTTCATGCGTTGTAAGAGTAGTACTGCGGAATGCTAGCATTTTTGAAAGTTTTATTTGAAACGTAAAGAGATACTCTAATCTTACCATTTTTTTTTTCCTGTAGCTCCACTGAATTTGTTACTCTGATGAATGTAAAAGGTATGAAAGGCGAAGTTTATTTGGGATGGAAGAGGAACGGAATCGATTGTTGTTGATAAAATTGTTCGGATATGATGTGAAAGAGATACTGTACGGCTGTGCGACTTTTCTTCACCACTTAATGCTTTTTTTTGATTTTTATCAGCAAGTCTAAAAAAAATAATTTCAGTTCGGATACAAAATTCCAATAAACTGATATGCTGCAGGCATCTATACAGCGATTGCTCTGTCCATTTTGCCATTTTGTCCATTTTTTATTTTCAAGTTCTGATTAGCTCTCCTCTTTCTTTTTCAACTTAACAACTGATTATTCAGTGGGAAAAGAACTCATGCAAAAAGTTGAAAAGTTTTCTTTTTTTTATCACAAGGAGAATCTTCATTAGGGAATTCTTTGTGATTTCATCTGAAACCCCACCGAAATATTCAAAGACACTTCTGAAGCGTAATGCAACATTATTTGTTTCTTTAAAATTGAAATAGGAAAACTCGTTAATAAGGACTGGAAAATGGAAAAGGAAGAATGATTTTATCCATCTGCATAGGAATAAACAATCTATGAGAAGAGGACTTTATTTGGTTTTAGAATGGAATATGATAGATGCATTATTTATTTGATGAGGGTTGCGAATAGAAATTAAATGTGCTTAACAAATTTCTTTGATGGCTTGAAATTGTGGAGATTCAAATTTCAAATACAGAAAGAAAAGCTCGAAGTGATTAATCATCCTTTAGCTAAAATTTGTTGAACAAAGATTGAGGAAATTGCCTGATATCGATTTCTGGAAAATAATGCAAGAGCTTTGAAATGACGATCCTTCATCCTTCATTTTTGCTTGGTGAAATTTAGCACGTGTATAATTTTATTTTGCTGAATCATCGAGGAAAGAAGAGGTACATAACCTTCTGAGTACTAATTTAAATTAGAGGCTTATAGACACTTTGTAAAAACTTAAGATTTTGGGGAAGAATGGCTTCTATGTATTTAAATTTCACTGATATATGTATGTAAAAAGGGAGAATGATTTTAGCACTCCCTTAGGGATTATCGTCTTTTCAAATGGTTTGAAGAACGAAAAATAATAGTCAAGTGAAGCAATCTGACTGGTTTCCTTCAGCTTCCTACAATTTTTCTTCTGCTTTTTCAGATTTTTAAATAAACGAACTCTATTTTATCCTCTTTACTTTCGTAGTTTCACTTAATTTATTAAAAAAGAAAAAGAATCATCCATCTTCCTGAAACTACAAGGCCTTCCAAATTTCTATACTGTTCGGCAGTGTAGCGCATAACGTTATACATTGTAAAATCGCTTGACAAGGCTTTCAACATTAATCACATCAAATTTATAAATTTCGTGCCTTTTTTTTTCTTCAAATGATTTGCTGATAAGATGTGATGCTAAGATGTAATGCAACTTCGAAGAAGATACCACATATGGATATTCGATTCCTTTCAGTTGCAAGGATACAATGAGCTAAAAGGATGACTCAAGAAAATAATTTTGGTTATTCAGAATATGAGTCATGGAAACTGAAATACAAAGTTTATGCGACCTGACGTGTCTTTGGAATATGACCTGTTTAAAGCAGAAACATGAGAATTTTTTTATGATTAAGCTTGAAAAAAATTCAAATTAAGAGATAACTAAATGTCATCTCAGTGGGATGAATTTAAATCTTAATAATTTATCGTGTATGAGGATAGATAGTGAGTACGAAGTAAATGAAAGAACAGTGAATGATAATGTTAAAGTACGTAAAATAATTTCAAAACGTTTAGTTATGCATCAGTAAGGATAGATACATTGTTGAAAGGAAAACATTCATGAGATGGTTGCATTTCTGCGTGTCTCTTTTCTCTTAAATATGTTTGTTCATCCTGCAACTTTTAGAACTAATCTTGCGGCTAATTCGTATACTTTCTCTAAGCAGTTCTCTTCATTTTTCATACACTCTCCGGATTGTTATGAAAAGATAATTGTAAATAAATTCTGAGATAAGATAGACGATAAATTGAGATTTAGAGACAACCTGACTAACAATCTTATCGTTCAACTGTTTGAAAATTTTAAGTTCACCAGTCTGTGTGTCTTGACCGAATCGTTTCTGTATCGATTTCAGAATATTTGTAGTTTAATTTTAATGCTTTCTTGTTCGTACAATTGTAGCAAACCTATTCACAACAAAAGTTTGTTTGGCGAATTTTTTTAAAGCTTGTTCTTGTAAGGAAATACAGTACAAGTTAATGCAACTCAGTTAATGACTTTCGTGACATCTATCATGTAATCGGTGTCGTTTTTCTCTTTAGAATAATTTCTAGATGAATACATTCAAACACATTTTAAGTATATCTATTGCCTTTAGCAAAAGTTCAATTAAACTGATATGCAAATTTCTCTTACAGAAATAAACAATAATTTGCATAAAACTGATCCTTCCGAAACTTCCACCCATATAATGGTTTAGACTCATTATTTCTGTTCTTTTTAAAAGTTAATATATTAATAGCTTACTATAGTCGTTTTGTTTTTCGTTTACTTCGTTTACTTCGTTCTTCTTTGCGATGAATAAAATTGTGGAATTTTAATGAAGCATTCTTTGCAGACCATAAATGGTTTTTTTAAATATTAATTTAAAGTTTCCTGAAAAATTCAACTTGACTGAATGGAAAATTATGTCTTCTTACTGCTTCCATACTTCAAGTTAATAAATTAATAAGTTAGTGTACGTTACCGTAGTTATTCTATTTTGCGTGTATCTTCTGACAGTAATAAGTTGTCAAGTTTCAGAATGCTTCAATCGAATGTCATGAAGTCAATATTAATGCTCGATGTAAATTGTCGCATGGTGTCTACAAATTATTTCGCATTTATAAGGTTATCTGGTGTAAATTCAAAATTTTGCAGAATGTCAGCACTGGACGAGCGCTCAGTTGTCGGTCCAATGTTAATTTGGCTGGATGCTTTGGAAAAAGATTTCGACAAAGCTTTTGTTGACTTGGATTTGTTGCTGGGCGAAATTGATTCCGATCAGGTAACTGAATTTTCTACTTTTATCTGTTTTTCTCAAACGTACTATTTTGCTGCTGATTCTGTTAACAAAATTGGCTTCGTTGAATTTAATTGAAAATTTTCAAATGCTTCGTTTATGTCTCATAAATTTAGTCTCCAATTAATGAATTTAATTTATATTACAAAATCAACACGGGAAATCATTTTACAGATCTTCAGGTTTCCAGATCAAGTTCATAAATTGAAACGATATCATTTAAGAAATTTTGATTTTCTCATCTTAAGTAATTTGCTTTAAGTAATTTTACTTATGCATTCTGCCAAAAAAATTTTTGGCTTTCCAGGCAGATATAATGTTTGAGAGCCGTCAAAAGATGACTGCACTCAGTGGTGCATTTGCTCAGCTCGTGCATAAAGCGCAAACGATTTTCCAGTGCAATTTACGCCAGGAGGTCTCTTATAGCTTTGTTGTTGGAATGGAAATCATTTCTGTTAAATGAAATCGGAATACATTCTACTTGTTTTCCCTTTTGTTTCTCTGCTAAAAGAATATCCGTAAATTAGTGGTTTCCAACTTGATATTGCAGGCAGAACTGGTACAACTTAGGAATGATTTATGCTTGTCGCGATCCGCTCATTACGAACTTGAACGTGAATCTCAGCAACTCATGCTTCAGGTCTTATTTTTAATGAAAAAAATCTCAAATGGTCTGATTTTTTGCAATCTATTAGGGAAATCGAGAACTTTTTTCTCATTGACAAAATCAACTGGAGTCTTGGAAATCTTCAGGTGCACAGTTTGCACTGTCAAGTACATTTCAAAACCGCTCCACATGAATCAGACATGATCAAGAAAAAACTGGTATGTATGGCATATATTCTTAAACACTATTCATAAAAGATCTTATATTGTCGTTTTTATTCTTTCAAAGATCTTTAAAAAGTTGCAGTAATAGATTAAAACATAGTGACACGTATTCAAAAAATTTCCGCACGAAGATTTCAAATTTTACTAAAGTTTACCAATTAAAATCATGGTAATAGAAAAGGATTAAAAGTCCCTAAAATAGTAGGATGACTATGATGCAAGTGAGTAGAAACCTCGGTTTATTCAGTATTCATAATAATATTTGCAGTTTGCTAACAAAGAATCCAGATTTAGTTACTACTTTTGAAGACTAAACAATTAATAAGCTCATTCATACTTATTGCAAAACTTAGTAGGCATCAATGGTAAAAGGTTCTAATTAGTCTTGAACAACAATGTACTTATGGTCATAAGCAATTCCAATAGGAATAACTCAGTTGACTTCCTACAGCAGAGTTGAAATTTCTTATTTACATATTTTGCATCAGCTTCGAGGTTTTAATTATTAGCTTATTTAATATTAGCAGTTGTTCGCCAGACATAGCCAAAGATCAATAGAGGCTCACGATTTTAGTGAATTATTTATCTTAATCTGCCTGCCTATTAAATTGTTAAAAAAAATAAATTTTGAGCAACATCTTCGTTGATTATACTACTGGTATGTTGATTTGTAATTTCAAAATTTTTTTGCACAACACACTCATAAAGTAACTCATAATGAGACGAAAGTTACCGTTTGAATAACTTGATTCTCCCTGCTTAATTCTCACTGTTCAACTTTCAATTAGGAGCAAGAGATACTAACCTTTCGATCTGAAATTCGGCCTCCTGCAAAACTTCGTTCGGAAGTGGAGCTTCTTCGTAATGAAAATAAAAAATATCGTCAAATGATTCTGGCTATGCAAAATGAAGTTTACGGTGCTAGACTTGCTGCCAAATACTTGGACAAGGAACTTGCTGGAAGGTTTGATTTAAATAATTCAAATATTAAACAGCTGAACGAGCAAGTCCCTTTGTTATTATCTTCACTTTCTTCAGAAGCATTTTTAGTTCTGGATCTTTTCTGGCAAAGTTATGATTAAGTCAGAGCACTGCCTGCCAATCATTGGAAATATGTGCATCACCATCTAAAAGCAAAAGGCAACACAAACAATAAGTAATTTCCTGAAAGTAGATAGTGCTTTTCAAAAATCACCAATTCTTCATTGATTTCAGGATTCAACAAATTCAATTGCTTGGCAGAGATATGCGTGGTGCTGAACACGATCGGTTATGGAACCAACTGGAAGCCGAAATTCATCTTCATCGCCATAAAACTGTGATTCGAGCATGCAGGTATGTTACTTGTAGCCTTGAAAATCTTAATATTGATGTGTTTGGTTAACAGCAAATTTGTAACCAGTTGAGTCATTTACAGAGGAAGAAGGGGTAGTCGAAAGTATTTGCCATCACCACCTCATCATGATTGCCAAAGCCTACGGAAACAAAAAGGTGTGGGACAAATGCGCAGTGTTAAACTTGTCAAGGACTCACACGAAGGTCTCGGCATATCTATTACGGTGCTATTTGTACTCCATCTTATTTTAAATGGTGATTTTCTGTCCGGATTCAGATGAGGACCTTTTACCTTATTTGTCTTCATCTAAGAAGCGTAAATAGCGAACACTCTGCTACGATTAAAGAGAGGGTGCACACATTTTTTCGGGTGCATACATTCGTTATTATCTTTCTGGGACTACCTTGGCTTGATATGAATGAAGTAATCCTAGTACCAGGAAAATCAATAGGACTGCGAAGCGAGCCTGTGCAAAATTCTTGACAATTTTTTTGAACAGATCAACTTGCATATTTACTTACCTATCGGTTTTTAGGAATTTTTGTAGAGGAATTAATTTGTTTTAGGGTGGAAAAGAACACGGTGTACCAATTCTAATTTCGGAAATTCATCCTAATCAACCAGCTGAACGATGTGGCAATTTATTTGTTGGTGATGCCATATTGTCCGTTAACGGCATTGACTTACGTACTGCGAAGCACAATGAAGCTGTGCGTATACTTTCCGAACAGGTTTGAGGTTACTGCTTGTGCATATCTTTTTTACAGTTTTTTACCTTCAATCTATGATATAGTAGTTCCCTTGTCATAAATATTTCAGTTCGTAAATTAATTCAAGTTATAGATGCACACTCTAAATATGCCCTTCAGTAGTGCTACCTGAATTTTAACCTTCAATGATTTCAATTTCAATATGACTAAGACCGTGTTACTGATGAATTATTTCTGTAATGGTTTAAAGAGTAGTAAATACTTTTAAAGAACTAATTTTAGTCTGTCTGTCACACTTGCATATAATTTCTGCAAGTTCTCGAGTACCTGAAGAGAGTTTGCTTTCTCTTATTGATTGGCCCTGTGACTGAAACATTTCTTTTGCTGAATATTATAATCATCTATATTGTCTGCAAAGTATGAGACTATCGAGCAGAATTAATTTCGCTTGCGCAAAATGTTACTTTAATTTGATGGTTTTTCAGTTTTACATGCTTAACACAATTTCAGGAAGGCGAATTAAATTTAAAAGTGGTCTACGTGGCTCCGGATCAGGATAGTGATGATGATGGTGACGTAATGGTTGAAACACAAGGCGGCTTCTTGTAATTATTTTTCTTTTTTATTTGTTTATTTTTGAGAAGGATCAATGCTTGGATCATAATATTATACAGATCTACTTTTTCATTTAAACACCTTTTATTAGATTCAACGTATATGAACCATTTACGGATCGTGAGCAACAGATGGCGAGTTCGAGCACGTTGGAACAAACGACAAGCAGTTGCTCATCATCTGTATCCCATCACAGTGATAACAATTTGGCTGCTGAAAGTGGTACCGTCTGAAGAGGATGATAATAGGGCATTAAGGATGATTAATAAGCCATTTTGGATGAATCTGATTATCAAGAACAACTAAGATTATATTTACTGTTCCAAACTGCTGATGGATATGGTGTGAATCTACACGGCTAATCATATCATTGCTGATATCATTCACTTTTCGCTCAAAATTATTCTGACATTACCAAGAGTAAAATGATCTCAGAAGATTTTTAAAATGTCCACTGTCGACATTAAATATATTAAACACAAAATTAGTGCTTTTCTTCTTTTATTGAAAAGAGAATTTCTATGAAATGATGCTGTTGTAATAAATAATTTGTATATATTTTAGGGAGCTTCGGAAATCCCAACGTTTTTTCACTTATTTAAAAAGTGGTTGCAGTTTACTTTGTTCCTTTCTTGCTTCAAAAATGTTAACTGTTATTTGAGTTATTTCTGTGCAACAGTTATTTCTGTGCAACACTTTAATCTTCACTAGGAGTTGAAACTTAATGAGAATATGTATTTTGGTAATAAATGCATGATTAGAATATCAGTCATAATGATGCATTTACATTAGTTTTCATGTTCCACCAAAAAATTTGCATAATTTGTTTGATCAGGAGTAAGCATTATTGAATGAGAGATGTAAAGCGAAAGAAATTTCAATGAAATATTATGCAAAATAATTCAACAGTTGGCAAGTTAATATGATGTATTTGTTAGGCAAATCATTAATCACTGATAGCAACTTTAATAAATGCTTTTTCTTTGGAGATGGCATACTAAGTTATCAACTTTTGCATGATTACAACTGCCTGAATCAATGCCAAATCGAGGCATTTTGAAATGTACTCTTTGATCAAACATAACTTTCAAGCATGAAAACATAAAAAAGATCGGGAAAGACAAATGAAGGATTTTTTTGATAGTAAAGATAGACGTTAGGGAAACAAATGCACCAGACTTTTAGAGTACAGTTTAACAGAAGCAGAATACCCTCTCAGTCTCAAGTCATCATACTTATTCGCAGTTACTTAAATTGAAATAGTCAGTGTTGATGCTTCATTCCATGGTAGATTCATACTGTTTGATAATCATTCATTTCTATATTTTTATTTTAATCACTGAATCATTAGCAATTGAAATAGGCTGTTTGGTGAAGAATTTTCTCGCCTACAATTTGTTCTTTTATGAATTTTTTGGCATTATTTATAAGGCTGTAAGAAGTAATCGGTAATTCAAAATTATCTAACCGCAGTATCTTTGTGCAGAACCAATTTCATACGTATTTGCAAAAGAATTCTACAAGAGTCCATCGCAACAGCTGACCATTTACTTAATAAAACCTGAGGAGAATTCGAAGCCCTGAGCATCTTGGCGGAAAAGTATGCATAAATCGTAAGTGCTGTGAAATTGTTTTTCTGTTGAACTCATTTCTCGGCTATACAGATTTATTCGGGATGTAATATTGTTCTTGCACAATATTACTAGTTACCAACAAGAAAAGGTATAAAATATATATATGTATATTACACGATGAATTGGTAAGCAATGATAAATGGTTATAGAAAAAGCAAGTAGTATGATCAACTAACAAACTCCTTGTCGTTGCCTTGGACAATAATTTGACTGTCGATTAGTTGACAGATCGTTGAGTTGGAAATATGTTACGGGAAATCATTTAGCGAATAGAAGAATATCGTAGTTTGTTGTTCAATGGTGCAGATATGCGATGTCGTCGTTTGTGGTTCAATCGTGGAGAATAAGCGAAGAGGATCTATCGTCTGCTCGGTTGTAAAGAACTGTCTCGGGATTTTTTCATATATATATATATATATAAGGATCAGAGAGAAGTTCTGTAAGCTCCATCGGGGCTATCATGGAGGTATGGCTAGCCTTT